CCAACTTCACACACGCCATAGATCAGACAGAGATCCCTTTATGGTGATATCGATTAAATTTAATTATCAAACTCTTGAATAGTTTAAAAACGTTTTACGGATTGGTAAAATAACTTACTTTATAGGAATCTCGGAAAAAGCTATAAATATGTAAAGAGTTCTTTTTAAAGCGTAACGGATCCTTTTGGATTGATAGAAATACAAGGCCGCGATTCTTGACCCACAATATCTCTTGGGTCAGTGAGCTGTTATGTCCACAATCCACACATGCGAGAGCAGTATACATAATATACAATGTACACAAATACAGGCCAATAAACAGCGAACACTGGGAAGTAATTACAAGAGCCTTCGATTTGAGGTTTGGAAATTGGGTCTGGAATGAAAATCATAATAAACTCAAAGGGGAATAACTGCACTACCCGGTTGCAGCATACGATAATAACTCAACACACGGCAAACTAAAAAGTACTCTTTTAAAATAAAATATGTATAAATGTGTACATGCTAATTACCTGGCTCTTCCAAAGGGGGACCTGAAATAGCAATATGATCATTTTCTATGGAATGAAATACAAAGTGTATACACAACAAGGCAGTTCACTTGAGTTCACCCCCCTCCCCCAACCCTAAAAAAAGAGCTCACCTCAATCTACGAGCAGTATTCATAGATGTTGCCAACTTCGCTGAAAGTGCATATGTTATTTCTTTGTTTCTGCACTTCTCATGCACAAATGGTTGGAGGACATCACTTGTTTATCCTACTTTTCTTCATCTCCCTCTATTATTTATGTCTGTCTGTCTGACTTACTTTTTCCATACACTAATCGACCGTTATTATGTCATACGTTCTTCCAGTATAATCTCTGCTTCGCTGCACGCGCACTTTTCATGCCAAACACGCCACCATCTGAAAATACTATTCAATGCACTTTATTGGATGTTGTCAGAGGATGAATTTTGTATGTCGTATCTCATATAAAGCAGTAAACCGCCATATAATGTACTTTTTTGGCTAGGCCAAGAAGGCGATAATCAACAGAAGGGATTAGATTCTGTCTATGGATCTGCATTTTAAAGGTGCCACACAAAGCGTCTTCTCAACGGGTTTTTTTTTTCAAATCAGAACTGTCTGCAACTGTGTTGTATCTTACACTAGGATCGAAATATACACTAAGAAATATGTTTCCGGAAACACTTGGGGAGGGGAGGAGACTTCTTAAAGTAAAACCAACCGTTCTAAAGAAAAATACGGAGACGTCTAGCACTTTTTTTGCCAGTGAGATGCAATAATTTGGGAATAAGTGGGAAAAAATGTGTGTGTCTGGACCCCGTGTGGTTATTGGACTGTGAAGTATCCTGAAGGTACAGTATCCACAGTCTTTCGGTGTCTGACACCCTACTGGAAGGCCCATTGAACTTTCAGTAGTACTTCTTAAGTTCGCTCTATAGAGTCTTTAAAAAATATACTCTTGTATTGATGCCCATAGGGAAATTTGGATGACAACGGATGTGCAGTGCATACATGAATACATTTATAGCCTACACCAGCATCACATCATCAGCACAAAGACAATACATACATGCCTTGAATTATTGCCAAAGGAGACATTGCAGATCCCCCCCCCCCCCTTTAAAAAAAAAATGCTATGTCATTTACGTTGCTCAGCACTAATCTAAAACACAACCGACTGAGTGCCCTTATCGATATGTCATCTTGCTGTTTTGGCAACTGTAATACTGCAAGAGTTTTCCTGAACGTCATTGTAATATGTAGGCCTATTTCTGACCGGCAGCTAGAGAATAGAGATTCATGCACTTTTCACCCACACGTGATACCAAGAGTCTCGACTACGATGAACGTTGTCCTCATGATGTACGTTACAGTTAATTACCAACGGTGTTACCCTGTCCTATGTTCAACTCTACAAACCAACCCAGCAATCAAACGCAAAAGCAAGAAAATAGACCGGCCTTTTTCTGAAAACCTTCCATACCACCTAAGAACAAATAAACCAAAAATCCCATTAAACGACTTACCAGCAAAATCACTAACCGGCAACACAAATAAAGGACAAACTCTTCAACCCAACCACTAGACAACTCACTCTTGAACGAGCTAAATTATAGACACCCCTCCCCCCTCCGGCAGCGCAAACCCCGATCTCACCTATAACATTGAGCTTGATATATCTGTAGAGTTTGTCTTTATCGCTGATCCGACACTCGTACGTGCCCGCGTGTTCCGGGGCCACCCGTTTGATGAGCAGGTTCCACTCAGTCACCTCTGGTGTGATTTCGTTGAAGCTCAGCTCCAAGTTCGGGTCTTTCACCCACGTGATGGCTCCAACGGACAGGAAGTGGTCTCCTCCAAGTTTCTTCCATGTTACCTTGTGATAGAGGAACACGACACATAACGTTAGACTCAGGACACTCACACCCAATAAACATAATAATATAACGCTACCTCAGAATTACAAAGTTCTATCTGACATCTTTGGCTGTTTTGAGTTACAAAGACCCTGAGGTCAGAAACCAAATGTTCTGTCTGCTCCATCAAAATCGTACGATTATTCGGAGTCGTTATCAAGATATTTAAAGAACTGCTTTTAAAATAGCTTGACTTTTATGTAACAAATCTCAAAAGTAGGAACTGAGCAGGTAAAACTAAGTAATTGTAAGGTAACGATAAGTCAAGAGCAAGATGCAACGGAACCGGTGAGCCCAAAGGAAGTCATAAATATATTATCTGACGGTCTTTGGTGAGCCCCCACTCAACCTCATTCTTGCCAAAATAAGGCTGTGGAGCAGTTCGAAACAGTCATTATTGACCTTGTGTTGCCTTCGGCACCTCTCATCTGGACCCAGAGGTGGGTAGTGGAGAACACACACGACCAACTCTCAATCGCAATGTTTGATAACCCTGAGACATGCGCAAAAGTCATCACGAAGTTCTTACTGCTGCATGCAGACAATTGACCTAAAGCTTTACCGCAGTAAGACGAAACAAGTGGCCACTGACTTTGTCGGTGAGTTGTGGACAAAAAAATAAGAGATGCGTACCGCACCAACACAACCCAAATATTAAATCCAGGAGAAAAAGCTGCGCAAGAGCATTAACCGAGCCGGACAAACCCTCTCCTGATTGCATTGTAATTGTGCTAGTGGGAAAAGAGAGAAACCTACCGCACCAAGGCAGGGCCGTCGAGAGCCTGGTCGGGCCCTGGGACAGCAATCACCTTCGGGCCCCTCCTCC